AACTTTATGCTTGCTTTTATGTTATTCTTATTACGCTCCAACTTGTTGAAAAACGATCTGTTTATAATGTTTTTTTGATCGAACAAGTCTTTTGTAATGTTTTATTGTGCTTTATATAATTGTTTATATATATGTTACTGTACTTGCAATTTCGAGAATAAATAAAGTTTTTGATTGATTGATTGATTGATACTACTCCGTTGCTATCGTTGCAAAATGCGTTCAACGCGACACTAACAAACCATTAATCCCAATTTCTAACGTAATTATTAAGATGTTGTATCTTACTTTTTCTATATAAATTTTAATTGATGATTAAATGTGTGTTCGGTAACTAATATATTGCGAGCTTTTGTGTTTTTAGTGCATTTTGATGGTAAAATATTAGATTTTAAAATGCCTATTCCAGAAAGCCTATGCAGTCATTCAGGCGTAATGGACGGTAACCTATGTCTGTTGACAACAGAGAGCGCCACCTGGCGTCGTGACGACACGACTGTGGTACTCTATAAGTACCGGCTACTAGACTTGCCACAAGTCTCATATTTTTTATTATTTTTCTTATTCTGGACAGCGCCACCAACGAGAAAGTTAATTTAGAGACGGAATAATAAAAAAAAAAAATAAAAATTGAGTACTGTATGCGACGCCAATTAAATTAGGTATGGCGCGCAATAAGTGCAATAAAGAGTGAGTAACTGCATATAAATGTTCTTCGAACAAAATTATTTATGCGAGTCAAGTGAAAATAATGAATAATAAAAATATAACAAATAATATGAGACACGACCCATTGTCAATATTAGAACACTTCTCATTGGGTGAAAAAGTCATGATTTTTCATTTTTGTCCAAAAGTGTCTATAGTGGTGAATTATGGTTTAGGTTTTTTAAAAATAAAGTTTCAATAATTTCTACACTATTGTCAACATAATACATATTTTCCATATTTAAGGAATAAGGAAAACCATGACTATTTGAGGTTTGATTATTGGAACGAATGTGTCTTAATTTCAGACTGAGACAACTATATAATTTATAAAGTTGTTTCAGATAATCAAATGAGTTTTTTCAAAGATTCACAGTAAATGACTATCCGTCCTACTTTTGCCAGCAACAGACTTTAGATAGAAATGAATATGAATGTGATTTCGGAGTTGACAAAGAATGGTTTTACCTTTAAAATGAGGAGCAACTGTGATGAAAGCTAATTTGATTCAGCATTCAAAGTTTCGGACATTTTATTTTATTTATTTTATAACAATTGTCCAACAGGAACTTTTCGTTCCCGCTTAAAGGCGAAAATTGCAATAAACATAAAAAATATAATCAATACAATAAAATCACAAGATATAAAAATATTATTATTATTATTATTATTTCTATAATTATAATTAATATTGCTTTATTTAAAATAAACATTATGGTATGCTATATTTACATTAAACATTATGGCATGCATGATAGAGTTTGAAACTAGTAAATGCAAATCGACACTGACGTCATTATCTGGTTCTTAGATCCAGAAATAACTAGAAACTATGTTATTTCCTGACAAATTTGAGCTCAATTGAATCATGTTTGATAATCACTATCTCTCAGCAGAAAATGAACGTCCTCACTTGTCTAATAACTTATCTATTTCTGATTCGGAATTGTTTCTAAATGACATTCGACCCTGGCTTATACCAATGCATATGTGCAAGGACATTACGGGGCTTTGTTAATTGTGACGGAAGTAGTTTTTGAGTTTTGTTTATATATATATAATGACCCCTTTGTGACTTTTGACCCAAAACTATGTATACCCTATGTATAGGAGGCAATTTTTTTTTTCGTAGGTAAGTTTGAAAAAATTTCATGAATTATGAATTATTCTTCTTATAGACCATATTTTGCGCATGCGCTACTTTCAAGTCTGTGTCAGCCCATGGTAAGCTGCTCTATCACGATAGGACAGTTTTCAAACCTTGTAGGGGCCTTGTATTTGAATCAGTGCAAAAATAAAAGCAGTGATTGAATTGACTCAGTTGATTCTAAATTTTAATAGGCTACCCTGTGTGATGTTTGTGGAGTGTCTGTTTACTCAAGTTATAACGGTTAATAACGTACACAACTGACTACGGTATAACGTTTACTCGCATGCTCTATTTCCACTTTCGAGCATTCTCATTTCCAACATCGGCATTCAACATAATAAAGGGCAGTGTCAAAGGCTACGACATTACATCCCTCTCCATCTTAAATGGAATTAATGTAAGTCTATTTGGTAGACTTTGTGTTGTACATTAGAGCAGTATTAAGATGTATTATTTATTTTAGTTATTTGTTTAATTATTTTTTTAGTGACCTTAATTTGTAACATAAGTAGTTGCTTTGCTAAGTTGTTACAATGGCTATGCTTTTAAAAAATTTATTTATTTGTTTTTTGTTTATTATTATATATTTTAAAATTTTGTTTACCTTTAAAACTATCCTTAACATCATAAACAACAACATTTGCAAAAGTTCCGTTTCTCAAATCAGTTACATAA